ACAGAATCAAGTATTTTCATACTCAGGACAGAACAGTCATTCGGATTTATCAGCCCATTAACTTTATATACACAGTATTAGCTGCAGTTTAAGTGTGATGCGGTGCATCTGTAATGAGAAGTTCTTTGGGTGGCATTTTATAATTAAATATCTCATGAACTATTTGTAAGGTCAACAGAGATTAATGCAGGATGTCAGGCAAGGTCACCACATGGATTTCTAGAGAATTCCACCCTCTCAAAAAGGCGTTATCACAATAATTATTTTCTTAATGCAGTAAATCACAACATGCACAATTTATATAGCAAAAACTCCACATGCATTAACAGTATAAATGAAGAAATAATTTGTTTTGATAACTTATTGTGGCTTTAGGCTACATGCAATGTTTCTCATTAGTTTGGATAACTCGCAGCATACACTTTCAGTATATAATAACAAAATATGATGGTTAAAGAGGTATTGCACCTTAGACTGAAGAGGAGGAGAGGCATCATCAGGAATGGTTTCTGGAAACGCTGTCACACAGGTGGCCAGCAGAAAGCTGCAGCAGCTCCCAGCTCCCCCCACCCTAGCATCCCCTGGTAGTGAGTGGGGGGAAAGGAAGCTGTGCTCCTTCCAGGAGTGGTTATAGGGCAGCCACCCAGCACCAGGCTTCGGTCAGCTCAGACTGCATGCTGCAGCACCAGCAAGTCAAATATACAACTTGAAATGGAGGAAACCCAGTAATTTCATTAACTAAGTGTTACTGGCTCACACCATCACTTAACGTCCTACAGCCAGCTTTCACAAGACCAGACTACACCTTATCAACGCTGCATCTGTTCTGAATGGCCAAAAAGATTTTCTGTGTCACTGGAAGACAAAGAAATAACCTGTATGTATTTTAGTATGGTGTCTGAAAGTCACAGTACGACACATATCAAAAAGAAAAACCTTAAGTCTGAGTGCGTACTAGGAATTTTGCTTTTTCTTGTTCAAAGAACTGAATTTCTGAACAACTGTCCAGTTGCCAAAGTAATTCCTTCTGCAGTATTACATATGTGGTGTAAGGATTTTAAGAAGCATGATCACATAAAGAAAAAAACATCATGAGAACAGTGTTTCCTGGCAAGCAATATTTCCATTTTCAGCAAGTCTTCGCCTATCCTGTCCCCCTTTGGGGGCACCTTGCTGCAGTACAATCCCCTCACAGGTGCGCTGGGGACCAGGCTCACACAAGACTAGAGCAGACCTCCAACAGCAAACGTCAGCCTGGGCCTTCACGCTGACACCCTTCTATTTCACGGCTATCCGAAGAACCTGCTCTAGGTGAGACATGTTCCAGATGGGTATGGTGGAAATGCTTCAAAACAAAGCTGTTCCGAATACCATACCTGCTGTCGGAGGTACTGGCATATCATGCTCTACTTGAGCAAAATATCTGAGAAAATAGCATCCTCTCACCTCTGTGGAAATGCGACATTGTACTGTGGGTTCAGGGCAGGTCACACAAGCAAGACAGCAATACTGACTTAGATAAAATTTTTATAGTACAGGCTGTATGTAAAATGAAGATCAAGTTTACTGCTAATGCCATCATCAACCAAAAGTGTAACCCAGTATTTCCTGTATTTTTTCCCTCCAACTAGTCTTTATTCCTGATCCTCCTCTGGCTCTTCACCTATTTCAGATATTACTTTACAGCCTTGATCTAAATTTTCAGCATTTAACGTGTCAAGCTTCATCTACATTAAAGACTGAATTTCAACCTATCAGTCAGCCAGACAGTTGTGCAGTGTTTCTGAGAGTATGATTAATAGGCATTCAAAGCTGGAGTTCATAACTCTGCTAAGCTTAATGTAACAAAAATAACATGCAAATAGATAAACAAAGACACTGGAGGAAAGAACATGTGAGGATCAAAGAAGTGCCTCAGCCATGCTTCTGACAAAGCAACACCATCAGCTACGGGCTCACATCAGACCTATACAGCTGTGAGAATGGCAAAGACAAGGCACTGTTGATGGAAATGATCTGACTTCTTTTCCATGGAGATTAGGCAACGTTACGCTCAATAGCCTTTTGGAAGTATAGCATAAATGAAACCAACTTCACTTGTGGAATGTGCCACTGGGAGACTGGAGAAGACAAAGCTCATGTCTGCATTGCCAACAGCTTCCAAACAACGCAGAGAGCACTCTGCACTGCTTAGAGTCTAATAAAGATGTCAGCATGCTCTTATTTCAGGAAACTCTAAAAGACAAATAAAGCTTATTTTGACTCTGTGCCCAGGTATCAGTCTGGAAAGATAAGAAGCCTGACTCAGCCTCGCACTGTAACAGAAAAACAGAGAAGAACCTGTTTTGTCCACCTGAGGACAGACAATCCCTTGTGCTGGTTCATTCAGAGACATGGGAAAGTGTCCTCCATCCTTTCATTTCCTGATACCTTTTGAAGAGACAAATAGCTTAGAAACTTAAAATGGGCAACAATGCAGAACACATGAGAAAACAAATAAAGACACAAAATAACCCCCCCATAACCCCAGTTTAAAAAAAAAACCACAAACAAACAAGTATTTAAAGCAGAGTTCCGTATATGTGCAAGAAACTGTAAAAGAAGAGGAAGCAGAGAACTGTCAGACTTTTTATTTCAGTTTGCAAAGGGCTGACAGAATAGTCCTGTTTACTAAAGCAGTGGATCTACAAATGAGTTATATGAAGATGTCAGCTGAAAAAAAATGACAGACCTTTCTCTAGGATTCTCAGACATACAACTTGGTTTGTGAAGTGCTGCATAGCCAACCCTACATTTCCACACTGTCACAACCAGGACTGCACATGTTGCAGATGTGAGCACTGTGTTGCATGCGCGCTCTCTCAACCAGCCTTTGCTTTGCCTTCCAAAAAAAAAAATAAAAAAAAAAAATCAGTGGAAGCAGCACCACGCTTCATGGAAGATGAATTTCAGCCATCTACTGCTTGGAAGATGGAGGCTGTGCCTACACCAGGGACTTAGGCGGTGCTCCATGATGTTCCTGAGCTTCTGAACATGTTCTTCTACAAGTCAGTTGAAATGCCTGCTAGCTCAGTGCTGTTGTGTGCCAGCTAACACCCTCCCACGCAACTCCCGGGCATGGCTCGGGGCTGCGTGGGCAACGGACCATTCCCCACCTTTTCTGGAGGTGCACACCACCACCTTTTCTGGAGGCTAAGTGAATTTATCAGCATGGGTGCAAACCATCCCATGCTAGCAGTCCTCAGCAGAAGGGAAAAGTCTACAATATGTTTAATCTATTAGTACAGTAATAAAGCTGTATTTATCTATTATTGTTATAGTATTACAGTACTGTGTAACTAAAAAGGCAGCACTTTCCCTGCACTTCATTAAAACAAAAATATAAAATTTATCATCATTATGAAACTCATTATCTGCATATTTTATAGGAAAATGAGCTGGAGTAAAAAATTATTTAGAAAAAACCAGAATGAGTTTTGCACCTTTTCTGACCAGAACTCTTTGTTGCCTAATACAAACCCTGGGAGTGAGACGACTCTCCAGTACAAGCAAGCAGAAACACAAGTAACGAAACCAATACAAAGCATGTCCTCAGTCATGCTGTGGCAGACAAGGCCTTCAAGACTTCTTGTGCTAAAGGGACAGAATACTGCTCTGTGAGACAATCAGCTCCTCCAAGTCATTTTCAGGTTTGATGCACTGAACAGTGCACTTGGGAAGTAAGCGTGCACAGCTCACGTAACCAGGGCTCCCAGCGGAAGGACAGTCCTCCTCTTTTATCATTACTACCAGTCCTCTCCCTGTAATAGCTTTGAGTTGAGACAATACGTTGCTTTTCAATTATTTGTTTTTTTCACTTCTCCTCAAAGGGACTTGGGCATCAGGTGAAGACTGAACAAGTGCAAGAGGAGAAATCCACTGCTGTGGAATAATTTTAAAGCTAACCAGAGAGTGGATATTTTTTCAAGCAATACTGGCAATGAGTCTGTAGTGCTACAGAGATCTTACAGAGATGACAAAGGGGACTTTTGCCAGACTCCACATAAAACAAATACCAGCATGCTCAGGAACCTGGCTAAAATAATTGCATGAACCCAGGGCACTGTACTTGCATTTGCTTCTAGTGGATTTTGCACTATTAACATCGAATAGTCAATGCATAGATATGTAACTATCTCTGGTAAGATCACATTTACTCTCCATACTAAGGATAATTCCAGCAACACTGCAGTACTAATTTTGATATAGAACCAGAAAGTAACACTTTATACAGCACACTTTGAATTCCACCATTTTCTACTAAATTCATCTGTGTCTGATTTTTACATCAGACACCTTGCACGCTTCCCCCACCCTCATCTCTCCTTATTGCCAAGTACGTTTTTCTGTAGCCTATTGATCCACATCCCCAAAACATATGTGTGTGAAGTAAGAAAACTTGCCACTGCTTAGTTACGGGGGGAATTGCTCCACCAAGAGCAATACCTAGCCAAGTGCTGAAAATGAGGATTAGTCAATGGAAGAGTCAGGAGTAGTGCTGACAGTCTCCTCTCTCTCTCTCTCTACTAGCCCAAGGAATGGTTTTGGGATTTAAAAAAAAAAAAAAAAAGAATTACATACATAAATGCAGTCTTAAATGCAAGTGTTTTGGTTTAACTGGGAGGAGAATAAAGGATGTCAGAATTTCAGCAGAAGAGCTGGCCAATGCCGGGAAGCGCCGAGCATGGTTGGGGCCTCCCTCCCAGCAGCACCACTGCAAACCCCAAGACCAGTCACCAGCTCCACCGCTCCGTTCCGCTCGCTCGCTCAGCGCTGATTTCTTGGCGACCTCTTATTGTGGTGTTGCTTATTGTACGTTCAAAATATCTAATCTTTACCTTTTCCACTGAAGGACATTTTAAATGAACCAGTCTGTACTGAAATGTAAATAACTCCCCTTCCTCCCCACACCCCTGCCCCAAACACCAGAGCAAGGGAAAATAGTATCCTGGGTTACTCACATGTGTGCCTTGCCAAGGAATAATTTGATCCACCGCTAGTCAAACCAAATCCCTCGGGAATTTGACTGGAACTACGTGGCCGAGTGAGAAGTTTTGGAGGTTCGATTTCGGCTCCAAATTCTGCCCCAATCACCCCCAGCAGGACAATGGCCGTGGCTTGCTTCCGTCTCTCTTCATAGGATGTCGATATTTTTTTCATTTGTGGGAGACCAGACAGACAACCTAAAATGAAAAGTAAGAAATATGACAAAAATCAAAAGCAGGGCTGTTCTCTAATACTCTAAACAACATTGTGTTTCCCAGAGAAAATAAAAGAGGTTTCTGTTTAACTTAAATCATGTCTTCAGGACAGTTACTGCCCTTACCAGGATTTTTGGCTGGTGGAGATGGTTCCATTTTACTTTTCAAAACCTACAACGCACGGTAAAAGTCTAAATACCACCTATTGCAAGGTCTGTCTTCAGTGAAACCCACCCTTCAAAAACTGTCAAGATCTCACGGGGAAAAAAGAGCCACCAGAAAACTGTCTCATTTCACAGTTTTTAAAAGAGCTGTGGAATTCTGTTTGTCTAGTTTTTATAAAAGGTGATTTTTGGTTTGCTTCTTGTTAATTTTAAATTTGCATAACAATTTGTAATTTTTTTTTTTAAAGAAGAGAGATTTTTAGGATAACTTATTTGTATTAAACAAAAGCATCTTTTTGTTTTAGAATCCATCATCACATTCAGATTCCTGCTAAATTTTAGCATAACACTATATGCATTAAACCAAACTACTATTTTGTACACTAAAATGTTACATATGGTATTTCAACAAACATTCTTAAAAACATTGAAAAAACCTCACTGTATTATGAGTTTTAAATAAAACTGAAATTTACATTGTTAGTCTAATATAGCCCAGAGACTTTGAATTTCACTAAGCAGATGAAGTTTATTATTTTTTTTTCTGGAGTAAGGAAACAAAACCTTACAAGAAATTGACCGGAATGAAAATACCATAGTCATTTACTCTGACAAGTACAGTTCACTTTTACCTATAATACTAATTCACGGCATACTAGGAAATGCCCTACCATATATTCTACAAAAATAATGGAGTCTTAATCCACTGTTAAACCTTTGCCAAGAAGTCGGAAGGCACCACCTGGCACTGAACGAGAGTTATCAGGCTTGTGGATTAATGAAGGGTGAATTAGCAAGTCACACTGTACATCCCTCTCTGCTAATGGCATTCACACGGCTCGACAGGAAACGAAACATTACCTACGAGAAAGCTAACCAAATTTTAGAACCTGTGTTAGAAGACCATCCTCGTTCAGGCAACCAGGCTGCGGATGTGACGGCAATGTGCCAGCCAAAAGGGAGAGAAAAACAACAGAAAGCTTAACAATGGTAGTGGGGGGGGAAGAAAGAAAAAATCAATAGTAACTGCCTTCAGAGGAAGAAGGATGAAAACGGGCTGTAACAGCCAAAGCAAAAAATATAACAGTTTTAATTGCTTCGCAATGGCTTATCCCACTCGCGCCATCTGCAGACACCGGTTCCTCATCAACATTTGCATATAGTCCATTTGCACGTTACACCTTGCCGCAGCCTCCCGTCCCCGGCGCCGAGGGCCGCCGGCGGGTGCGCGGCAGCTCCCGCTCGGCCGCGCGCAGTGTGGCCCCGCACACCCCCTTTCCCGGGGTGCCCCCGCCAAAGGGCAGCGCTGGGAATGACGGATGGCGGCTCCCTCCCGGCTCCCCGCGGCCGCCCCTCGCCCAGGTGCTCGGACAGAGCCCGGCGTGACATCTTAGATCAAGATGAATTGGCACAAACTCCTGATCCAAGATTGTTTTATACCATTTAATTTAGTTTCTTCCCCTGCTTGGATGAGCACAGCTCTGGTTATGGATTTCTATTCTAATGCGCTGCAGCAGGCGCGGGGAGCAGGCAGCGGAGCAGATGCTGGAGCAGGGGACGGCGGGATGCTGATCAATAGGCGAGGCGCTGACCCCGGCCACGCCGCCCGCGCCGGCCACGGCTCCCAGGCGAGGAAGAAAGGAAGAGCGAACACATGTGCTGCTTCCAGTAGGAAATTAAACCGCGGGGGCACTCGGCGCGATGCGCCCTCCCCCTCGCCCGCCTTTCATTTGATTACAGCAATATGAAGTTAACCCTTCGTTAGGTCCCCAAGGACGGATTTCAAGAGCATCCTTCAAATTAGAGGCCCGGCTCGGCAGAACTTTGGCGTGGCAACTTTAAACGGCCAACACCGAACCGGCGGGCGTCCGCAAGCTCCGTCTCAACCCGCGCCTCCCTCGTCCCGCGGCCGGCCGGGAGCGCTGCCGTTGCGCAGCACGCGACGATGCGTTTCGTCTGCAATTAATACGGGATCCGGCGGGAAAACTCCCGGGCCTGCAGCGGCACGGTGCTGTGCGCTCGGCGTAGACTCGCAGCTGAGCTAATTCCTACCGCTGACCCCGCGACTCCAGCACCCAGATGTCGAGGAGATAACTCTTTGTTAACCAAACAATGAATTCCAACCAGAACAGGGTGGGAAATATTCTTAGAGTGTTTCATTAGCAATCTGGCACGGGATGGTCTTTATCCTGCTCGCTGCTGCAGCGTAGGATTTTCTGCCTCAAAACAACAAACCCAAGAAACTAAAAAAACCAAAACAAAAACAACCCAACAAACACACCCAGGTCCAAAACAAAAAAAAACCCCAAAACAACAAAATCCCAACCCTCCTCCCAGCAACATTCCTCCCAAAACCTCCAGATGAGAGGGGGAAAAAAACCCCCTTAAATATTTTTGCATTTACTTTTTTTTTTTTTTAATTACTAGCAGAAACACACAATTAATTGTAATGATTTCCTCCAAATAAACTGGCAGCCATTTGGGAGATTTTAAAATGAAATAATGTCTATAAAAGTAGTGCTTTTTACAGTTTCATTTGTCTCATGAAAATTTGGTATTTTCTCACAGCGACGTGCCTCCATTTAATCATGCTAAAGGGTGACACACAGATCCATTTTCTTGACAGGACGGTTGATCACCCTATCACAGTAAGAAAATTAATAACCTCAAATAGCTCTATGTGGAAAACAGAAGCTACACTGGTGAAAGGACAAAAACGTTCTACATTTTAGTTGTAAAAATAACACACTTCCAGATCCACACACCAAAAGAGAAACCTATCGCGTGCGTGTGCGTACCCAGCTGGGTTTTCTTTAGACAAAATGACCTTATTAAATATTTCAAAATATCTCCGTTTTTGGGAATTAAACATCCACAACTGCTTAGAGGAGACAGCTTTACAGATAGCACAAAGCATATTTATGAAGTCTTTAAAATATAGGTAAAATATTTCAGAAGTTTAAATTATTTAAAAGGCTGTGAGATATTGATTACTTCATTTAAAAAGCAGTCAGAGAGTACAGCCATGAGGTCAGGATAAATTTAACAGTTTGAACCACTTTACTAAATAACTCTAAAGATCACATTAATTGGCTTTGCAGAGTTCTTGAGTAAAATTAATTTTATCCTAGCTTACAATAAAAGGATTAAAAGACAAATTAAGTTCTCCAGGTTTAACTGGAATAGGAATCAATGGATTTGAATTAAGGCTGAGGCGGTTTTATGAGAGATGGACTGCTACCAGATACTTCATATCTGCTATTAGGCGCATACTGATGGTACTCCCGTATTGTATTAGGTATTAAAGCATCGCAGAAGAAGGTGCCAGACCCATTTATTACTATCAAACATACCGTCTGAACCCGTGGTGCTGCCGCGGTGGTTCTGAGCACAGAAGGGTGGCCTCCGGTGGCCCCAGTCCACCAAAACCATGCCCAGCCCTGCTCCATCAAACGGCCACCAACACGGAGAGCCACCCAGCCACAGCGTGGTGAATGACAACCCAACACAATTAATTACAGGGTTGTAATTGTGTCCTATGATTTAAATGAAAGCGTAATCACTGAGATTTAGTTGCAACATTTAATGTGCATAAAATTCTTTAAAGTGAAAAAAACCAGGAAAGATGTTGCAGTAGCCCCATTTCCATATGCTCCGACAGCCAAGAAAGAATCCTCATCTGAGCTCAAATACAGTGCCAGGTACACCAGAGCGAGGGTCTGCAGGCTTTCAGCAGTGCTAAGCCCGTTAATACGTATAAAATTTTGAAAAATATACATTTGAAATGAATAAAATAATTTGCTCAAGACCACAAACATACTTTGCATCAAATGTGGTAGAGAACTCAAACCTTGCATCCCAATCTGTTTTTTTAAGGGTACAGAGAAAACCAACAACTAAAGCCCTCTCGATTTTTGTCACAGCTCATTATTTCCCAGCACTGAATGCACGCAGTCAGAATTCACTATCTATAGATGAAAGCTTGCAAACTGAACTCCATGGAAAGCATCATCGCTTTTCTGTCCTGTCTGCCAAGTCTCTCTCTGCATTTCTTCTGACAAGTTTTCTGTTTATTTATGAAGGGGAGGTTTGTAACTGGGCAGGTTGGGATAAGGATTTCCATCCATCCTTCTTTTTCCTCTCTCTCTTTCAGGCTTGAAAAAAATACACAGTTAGTTAAATTCAGAGAATCCTCACAGTCCTTCCATCAGATGCCAGGGAGGAAGCAAACACACACCAAAACATGGTAGAGACTGAACTTATTGGCAACAACCACTGAAACTGTTCACATCTGCAACTGTAATCATTTTTCTGTACCAGATGGGATATGATAAAAGAATGCACAAGAGCTACAGGGGGGGAATGCAATTTTGCTTAGATTCATCTTGACTGTCAATAATTTAAAATATTTCTTCATGTCAATTGCACTATCTTCTTACAGTAAATAAATTTACATAATGCTCTGCTTGTGAACTAAAAAGGAAATAGCAAAAAAATTTAAGAAAACTGTATACTAAATGTGCCTATGAGAGATACTTATCCTTACCTTTAAGTGTTCAAGATTCTTAAACCAGTCAAAGCCATGCTATGGGTTTGCCTACATTTCTAGTTTTTCAGATTATACACAGATGAATAATTACAGTAATTTCAGCACCTCCTGAAAGCTTATAAAGCCAGAGAGTTCACAATAAATCAGAACTCAAAAAAATATTATAAAGAAATAACAATAACAGAAAGTGGCCACGAGGAAAATGTAGAAAGACAGGAAACAATCTATTTTATCTAACCTTACGAAAACTGTGGTTACTCATTACTAAC